ATATATGGAAATAAGTGCGCTTTTTGGTAACGGCAACTTGTCAGTGCATCGCAGTTTGCTACAGTTAGGAAAAACCAATTTACATGAGCCAGGTCGTTTTGACATAGAAAATACCTTAGATACTCTCCATAAACAAGAGTTTGGAGTATATTGGTTATTTAATATTACCGCACAGAGGCTCACTAGTGTTTCTAATTAAGAGAGAGTTTAAAATTAAGAGACTACATTACGGTAATGTCTTTAAACAAAAAATTCAATTGGAGGGTCCGTAAAACAAATCACTTTAAAGGTAGACTGGAAAATGTATCAAGGTTTACAAAGATTTCCGTTTTCCGTCCTAACGTAATTGACAAGGTAGGGCCGTTCCTACATCTCAGTGATTCCTCAATCAGAGGAGAGACGCGTAGTGATCAGCTATGGTAGCGCCATATCCAGTCCCTATAACATTCATCAAAGTACTACTTTCCCTATATCAGGTGTATCTGACTAACATACTTTTAACCGATGTATTAGACATGTCGCCTTATTTCTAGTAGGTACCTAGCTTGCACACAAAATCACCCCATCTGTTTATCAACTTATCCTCTTTAGTATACACATTTATTTGTCCTATTAGCCTTATATGCCACTTTCTAGACAGAGAATGACTTCCTGTGCGATATTCGAAGCACCGGTGTTCTCGCGTGTGAAGTGTTTTTGATGCTAAACTCTACTTGAGATCCACTTCATATAGGGTGTCGCACGACGGCACAATTTTCGTCGACTATCAAAGTTCCTCTAGAACCTTATAAACACGCAGTTGTACGTTCTCGGCTATTCAGCCATAAAAGTAAACCGTATCGGGTCAAATCGAAACGCCGCACGAAATCAATATGAAGATATATATCGGTGGGTTAGGAAGCAAGAGACAGTCAAAAAGCAACCACGAAACGCGCTCGTCTGCAGTGATCCGTCGAACCGTGCGCGCTAATTCTTTCTGTAGTGACCCGAAACGAACATTTTAATTGAAAAGGTTGTCATTAACGAAAGATAAATAGCCAACGTGAGAATAACTATAAGAAAGAAGAAAAACTCAGCTAGAATACCAGATCGCGTCGCTTGCGATGGGGATCGCACAGCCATAGGTGAAAAGTTAACACCTGCTTTGCCACCCCGGGGTCTGGCATTGCAGGCTGTCTTAGCCGACTGATTTGCACCAACTAGATTCATATTCGATGGTTGACCCATAGATTTCGGCGACGGGCACGTACTGCCTGGGGTAGCGAGACCTTCACTGCACCCAGGGTCGCTTGCAGACCCTTGTGCAATAGCAGTACCTCTGGCGATCATCGGCGGTGGGGGTCCACAAGGCGGGAGTGGATAGTCAGGGCAACGCAATCCGGGTCCGGCCTCCGAAGGCAGCGGCTGAAGCGGCGACGACGTCTGAAACATCGGACGTCGCATACTTGCGCAATCTCTTTGCGGAACTCGTTTTGTGACAGCGATCATTTTTCTAGGGGAGCACTTCGTTTTTCCTAGCATTTTTAGGTTGTTTTTCTATAGTTGGTTGTGTTTAACGAGTAATTGATACTGCTTGTAGTGTGATTTGTCTTTTGGAATACGCTATGATGTTAGTTTGAAGGATTAGAGACTCGAAGCAGGTGGGAATTTGGTCCGGGAATTATTTCGTTTGAAGGTAAAGTGTTACTGGCTGTATCCCAACCGTTTGCTATACAGTTGCTCATTTAGGGCAATACAAAACCCGTATTGATCGATTTAATGTTACAGAGTAGCCAGGGCTTTTACCCGCAAAACCAAGCGTCCAGGCGTTTATTTCCAAAGCGAAATTCGTAACATTGTGCGGCCATACGATATTCCAAGGAATTCATAGAGAAATAATTTTTCCAGTGGCTAAAAAAATGTATGGTTGTAGCTGGTCTTAGTATTGTGTTTTGTATAAGAGTGTGACATTATTGTGTTGTTGATAGGGTAGAGTTTGTGGAAAACGACGCATTTATGACAAAACATAAATGTTACTAACTACGTACGGTACTTGCCGTCGACTAGTGCTTCATACAGCTCGAATTATACAACGAGACGAGCTGTACGTCTGTGCACGGCGTGCTTCAAGGCTGCACTGCCTCATATGATCATAAGTTTAACGTACAAACTCGTTACCACTGTGCCATTACGGAGACAACAATATCAATAGTTATTGCCTAAAAAGGTTGAGGGTTAATACGAGCTTTTGATCAGAAATCATCGCTGAAGTGTCTGTCTGCTACTGTGAGGCTCTCATTCACTAAACTCTGGAGCTCGTTGCTTTGGGACGAAGTACGAAGCTGATTTTAGTATTACTTCAAGGGGATGGTTTTATCTGATAGAGCCAATGAACCAAACACAAGAGTACAAAATGGCTCTTTATGATTTACAGGACTACAGAAGCGTTCTACATGAGATGAAATGTAGATAGAAAGACCAGTCTACGACAGAATACATATCCAGGGCTGTGGGTATTGATACTCACCCTTCCCATCACTTCAAACACCGATATAACCCCAGCTCCAAATACTTCACGTTCTCTTAACAATAGAACACTAAAGAAAAAATATAGGATCTGCCAAGTACATTGAGCATCGCGACAGTCGAGGCAGTCATTGCCGCAGATAAAAAAGTTGGTTCTTCTAGCAAAGAACATGAAACCCACCTAGAGAAAACAAAGGGCTCGAGGCGTCCAATGTCTTTAGGACGGAAAACCCCAAACAACATTATAAGCCTTATTGATAGTTGAGAAGTCACCACTGGTTTTCGAGCACTTCTAAAGAAACCCAAAAAGGTTTTCACGAAGCGAAACTAAGTTCAATTCAATATAGATTCGATTGATTGGGGTTCTAGCTTAAAAACCCGTTCCTGATTTCTTCGAAATTTTGCTGCAAGCATTAACCCTTTTGTCGAGACTACTACCACTGCTACCAGCAACTAGATCATCCAAATAAGCTATAACGGTTAGTCCTTTTTGTTGGTGAAGTTTTTATGTTCATTTATATTTTTTAGACATGTATTTTTGGCCCTTCTTAGCCCAGAATTAGTATCTTAATCATTTATATATCAATTTTGTTTGAGCGAGACTTAATAATTGAGTCTATGGGTACGAGTATGGTTCGAGGTTCTTGTGAACAAGTTATTCGTGAGCCTATAGGAGGACTTTTTAAAATCTATTTGTGTGTCATACCATAACATTATTGGCATATAACTAACGACTTATTAATGATCCATAAAAATGGATTGAAGGCCGGGACGAAACGTAGAGGATAAACTTTATTGGAAGAGGATATTGGAACAAATATCACGAGGCGAAGCTTTACACCATCGCTCAGTTGAGGTCAAGTAAATACTTATATTTTATGTTACCACTAGCGAACACAAGAGTGCTCTTGACTTGGTAACACTCCAGTGGAGCAGGGCATTTTATCCCATAACGTTTACATTGTATATGTATATATAATTCTCTATTTTAACATAAAGCCTATCACTATCTGGTAGGATGATAGGAGCAGTACACAAAAAATAGAGGGAAGTTTTGTGTCATAGAACGTAATGCTCCGAACAAAGGACAGACCGAACTAGATTAAGGTGTTAGCATGATTAGGTTATCGTTGAAGAGCTATGGATGAAGTATTTGTTATGATTACATATATAAACTACATATATAAAGTTACTATATAACATGTTATTTTTTTACTCAATTATTAATTAGTAAGATCAGGTTGATAAAAACTAACAAATCAGTTGATGCCCTATCTGATAAAAAAAACATTGAATTTTACGGCTAGTTTGTCATTCAAGATTAACGGCGTACGACATGACCCTTTGTTTCGCATTCACGGCCTAGCGATTACAATCCATGTGAATCCATCTAATCGCTTAGGACCTATTAGAAGTTGTCTCTGTTGACCTTCATGTCCTCTGGTAGAATTAAGAAAGGCAAATATTAATCATCTATTGAAACCTCGAGATTTCGTCCCTATTATCGATATCGGTACGAAAATATTGCCTAGTTGCTTTCTAAACTCAGTTTGCATTACGTCTTAGATCTGGTGTATGTACATTTGTACATCTATCCATCCACAAATTAGGCTTGCAATTGATTTGTACAGGATAGCGAGCGTTGTAGGATCTTTGCGATGATAACACAGTGGCAACGTCAAGTAATCTGAGAAACATTCGAATGGTTTCAGCTTGAATCAGGACACAAACACATTTTGATCCTTCAGTAAAAATACGATTGTTAGAAGAGGTGAAAGGTTTCACTTCTTCGATCCGGTTTCTTTAGGTTGTTCGTATTACACTTACTAACTTGACAGGTCCTTAGAGGAGACCCTAGGTTTGTACACCTATCTGGGTAAAGATAGTAATTTTGGCTTAATTTTTATGAATACCCTCAATTAGGAAGTTCTCAGACATCAGAATAGCGACTTTACATCGACCTCAGTTTCTAGGTCCGATTAGCCTATTTATACTCATTCAGCACAGAAAATAATTCCCTCCCTCCTAGGTGTTTTATTCCTTGTTACTACAGAGACGCATTCTGCTTGCAGGACATTAAATCAGCCCTCATCATGCTTATCTTTGTATGAAACTATAAGGAAAGACGGATCGTTGGAGTCAGCCGAGAAATACACAAAACAACGTGCCGGTATGAGCCAACCGTATCGAACGGTTTGTCGATTTATTATTTGATTTAGAACGAGCTCGTATCTAGAGTTTTAATAATATTTTATTTTTTTAGTAAGAGTTTTAGTAATACCATCAATGAAGGAAATACTTTAAAGGTAATAAGATCACCCCCAAAACGATAGTTTTGTATGGATGCACCAACCCTAGAGCCTAGCACCGACAACATTAAACATTTCTTGATAGCAATATCACCCATTGATCCACAACGCTATCATTCAGTCTTAGCTACTGTGGATAACTCAAAGTCTGGTAAGATTTATTGTTGCCAGTGGCCTCGAATCGGTTCACGCAGGTTGATCAATTTGACACTAACGTGGTCGCTGTCCTAAGGGGGTAATTTGCATTTAGTGAGTTCCCGAGTCTCACATAAAGCAGCGTTACCCGTTGGAGACGCGTACGTATTCCGTATTTCTAAATACCATAAAAAGGCCAACTGGCATTTACTACATCTGATAAACGCTGGTTCTATCGGCACCAGTATATTTTTCCCACTTTTTTTAACCGGGCAGGCGGAGTGCATTGCCACACCAGTATAGCATGTAACCGTTGACGTAAACTTACTGGATTACGATAACGCTGTGTTATTTGTGTAGAGTGACTTGATGGGAAGTCTGGAAAGTCGTGACTGCTAAAGTACTTCGCAGCAAAGTGGACTTGCCTCTTCGAAGTAGCGATTTTCTGTTTCATTCATGACAGAGTTAAATATGGCTAAAACAAGTTACCACCGCACCATTGCGAGGGTGACTTTACCTTATCTGGCCTATTGCAGGTAGAGCACTAGATATACACTGCAGTTAATAGATATAGTCATACATGTATGTACCTTTCGATGTTCTACAATGCTAATTACAGTCAATTTGTGGCATATATACACAGTATAATGCAGTTTAAGGAACACCAGCTTCATCTGCCAACTGGTGTTCAGGATGCAGCGACCATATTATATTAAGTCCTCGTGGTGTTCCTATCCGTACGTTCTACCAGCTCCAGCTTGGTTGTAAATGTGGAATAGGCTCGCCGAGGCCAAACAGACGATTTCAATGAAAGGGTCACGTAAATAGCTGCAAAACAAATGACTTATCGATTGGTTCAATACATCTACAAGATATTCATCAGTTAAATGACTTCAACGAGCGAACGCGCAACACTGTTTTACAACAGGTTTATATTGACCGACAGGCTATTAATTCTAAGCAGGCAAGTAAGAGAAACACAAATGCAGAACCAATAAGATATTTTGAAGCTCACATGCTGTTGACCAAGAGGAAACTCTAGGAAAGCATTAGATAAGCTTATGGAACTGCATCAAGTGGTGAAAAAGAAATTGCCGGTAACGCTTTTACCAACAGCTTGAGAAGATCAGTGTGTCAGATCGTTTCTGTGTGCAAGAACAATGGTAGAGGCAGCATGGAACACCTTCATTTAACCTACTGTTTTCTTGGTTTGGCGATTTAAGAGTTATAAGAACTGTAGTTCGGCACAGCTGCAAAAAAAGAGATTGCAGATATTTGTTTCCAGGTGTTGGATTTAGATAGATAGGTTAGCGGTATCGACTATTTGGGCTCTTCTACACGTACAAATAACAGCTTTCTCTAACCTGTATATAATATAATGGGTCAGTACTCTTCACGGGAGCGAAACTGTCGCTATAAAGCGATCCCTGGGAGAGGTTTCGGATTCGGAATTTGAAATACAGGGAAATCAGTTGAATAGTGCGCCCTCTACATAAGTGGGTTACTTGTCATTAGTTATTGCTGCTATTCGAACATAAGTGACAGAATAACATACAACTGAAGCAATCAGTTAGGCTGATTTGATAGAACACAGGTGAAAGTAGTTCAGTAGTCTTCCTGACAGCCATATTTCGCCGCAAACAAAAAGGTATTTAGAAATTATGTCTGAGTTCATATTCGAGTAGCCCCTCACCATGAGCATCACCTGAAAAAAGTGCCTCCAGATTACATCGGCTGCCTCATAAGTGTACCATTCTTCGTAAGTAACAGTCTCACAAGAATATACTAATGTGCGTGTAGCCTATTCGGTTTTTCACGGTAATCGTATGCTTGTCAATACTAGTAGCTTATAAAATTCATAAGATATTTAAAGTTAAGAACGTTGAACTTTTTGAGGCCGAGAACAACTGCGTCTTTATGGGTTTCCAGCAGAACTTGATATGGATTCAGTGAAACTCCAGTCACTGACTTCGTCTTTATTTATCAAAGCTTGTGCCTGCGTATGCTGCGAACATGCGGGTTCCATCCTTTCTAGTTGCTCGAAAGACCGTGTTATCTATCCGGAATATATCGGTTATCCTCATCTCTCATTTCCTCGACGTGGTGTCCTAGATGTAAGCATTTTGCCCCTACAAAACCCAGCCGGTCTCATGATTCAGGTGTTTGCCCAACTACGGCTTCAATGTAGATGTGGATTCGAGGAAAGTCCCATCGCAATTAAACAACACTCTTGACAGAAAGATCCCATCTGGATGAAGCAGGGACTTCGCATAATCCATGGAGATATCTCAGTGGACTACAAGAGGCAGTCGATCAGTAGCTGGAGAACTTGGACGATCGGATCCGCTATATTGTCCGAGAAGATATATCAACATATGGAAGACCGCCGCGGTTTGGGTGATTCGCGTGAGAATGCTCGCAGTACAACCGTTAGGGCCAGCGGAGAACTTGATACAAGCAAAAACTGAGGTACTTACGGATATTGAACGAGTCACTGCGGCGTTTAAAGAAGATTCGTTAGGTCAGGCTGCTTCCTCTCCTAGGACAACCCTTGGTTCGATTTTGACAAGTTATACCAACGCTTCTTTGACACCCGGCTATCATTTCAGGTAGTTTCTTCGTCAAAGGAGAACGTTAGCATCTGCTTTTGTACGTGAGTTTCGCTTGAAAAAGGCTAACATAGTATTTATTCCGGTTTGCTTGCCGGCCCCTGCAATGCTGCCGACAGCAGGTTTTTCTAGCCGGTTCATAGGGAAATTACATTAAGTATTTACGATATAGGTGACACTGCAATCGAGAGGGTTACTTTCAAATCATTCGATAACGGCGCGTATTCTCACAGATATGAAAGGCCGAACAGATCAATAATCTGTAGCAAATTCCCGAGGAGGTTGCCAGTGCTCTTGGAGCGGAAATGCGTAGTAAATGAGACAGTCTGCGTTTTCATTACAATTGAACCTTTGAGAAAAGCAGGTGTTTTCGGCTTTCGATCGTTTTTTCACTCACCGACAGAAAATAGTGCGATGACGGCATTTGAGAGGAGTCCACAAGATTGAGAATCTTATCTTGAAATGATGAGTCAAAATAATGACCATCCTTTAGCGCCAGTCGAAACGCCACTGAATTTGTCGGTGAATGACGATATGCCTGTAAGAGCAAAGTGTGTCAGAAGATTAACAAGGTACGTATAACTTATAGCAAGTTCGTAACGGATAATAAATCGGGCTGTGCACGTGGATGCACACTGTCAAGTCCGAGGATTCTCTAGACTCTTCGATTATTGTAAGTATCGTTAGGTTCTATAAGGATTTTTAATAAGCACAAACTGTTTCAATTTAGGCGCAACTATCTAAAAAGCCTTTTTATTTCTTTACACTTAGCTACAATTGCTGATTTAACCATTACTTTAATTGTAATTTCGTACATACGATTGCCTTATTATACGTACATGAGTATAATAATAATAATATATTCAATAAAAATTGGCGGGATTCGATCCATCGACCTGTAGAATTTTGATTCATGGGTATGTCTGCTTGAGCCGCACAAATTGATATTTGGCTTATGGTGTCCAAGTAAAAGAGACACTGAAAATGTGTTTGGGCAATTCTAATAAGCTTTTCCCAGTTACAATCATGTCGTTTAGATACGTAACATATCCTTTCAAGACACACTTTTCGCTTCTTTCTTATAGGTCTTATATAAAAAATGTTCTGTATAATCTTTGATATAGAAAAGATACGATACAATTTCGCATATAAGTTTATTAAACACAGAGGTTAGTTGAAGATCTCCAGTTACTGTTATATAAGTTGAAATTTCTCGTCGAGATCACTTGCAGATAGTAGTTCGTCCGGTATCAGTAACAAGAACTTTTCGTTTTAGAGGGATTGTAACTCCTACAGCATTACGAGGCTAGAACATACTTTTTTTTTTTTTTAATAATATCAATCTTGTTTAATTTCACGTATAGTGGACTACTGCTTTATTTCTGTACACGCCCCGCTGCTAGCATGTTTACTACGATTTATCTAATCGACGTGGAACATCGTAGCGTAGATAAAATATCCAACGGCAGTAGTCGGCTGGGGCGATATATATATAGCGATATGGCGCGATAATTTGAACCGCAGAATTATGGATCAAAGGATTCTTGTACACTCAATGAAACGACGACTAACTAAACGCAAAAGATATAACACGGAACCATATGCATATAGATTCTACATAAACCAGCCTCTATAAACAGCACTTTGAACCGATTTACAGCGATAGTAGAATTGACCTCCATAGTTCTTAATTAGGGAGACATAGTTCTTAATTTCTATCATGCCGCATAAAATGCTTTACTATAACTATATAGATTTCCTACGCTATTGATTCAGGCATGTTTCTCTCTTGAAATGGCGGATCAAGTCCCTGAAGATCGAGCCAGATTCCGCACATATTCCTTGTCTCGTTTCGATCTGCTCGATTATAGTGGTGGTATTTGAACGCACTCGAATAGACTGATCTATGTATACAAATATTCATCGTTTGTTGAATAGGCGCCGTTTGAAAGTCGATTTTTACGGTAGAAAGGGAATGCAACGATGCCCGAATTTGTCTTCATAGAAAGGTTCCAGATGATACAACTTTAGGCATGGAAGCGACTATGTCTGACGTAGAAGACAATGCGACTGAAAGCAGATTCGGCCAACCATCATTACGAGTAGTAATGGACTTTTTAATGCCACTTTCTAACAACTTCATGCAGGATTTTGAAAATATAGCTTAAAAGTATGAACGTATTCGACCTGGCATTTAAAAATAACACGGGAAGCTTAAACGATTGTTTCGAACGACGTAGTTACTTAATTACCGCTTTTACCGTACCAATATTTACTAGAATTGGTTTTCCTAACATAACTTTTGCCACCGTATTCGACTTCCATGGAGCAAAACAGCTTCAATAGCGACCTCGGAATCGATGCGGAGTAGAGATAGGCAAGCATCGGCGACAGACAAATGCTCATTTAGGTGAGGAGCACTTACCTGTAAAATTTACTGTAAAAACCTAGCAGGAAATCTAATAATAAGTAAAAAATGTCAACTGTATCGTTTTGCAGGTGGCGCATCGAAGTGCAAGGAGTTCAGCGGCTGATGAATTTCTGGAAAGGAGCGAATCATCGTCTGCTGTCGCGTTCTACCAAGCAAGGCAACAGCCTTTGAACTTTACCCCTGCGCCCCATTACCTCAGCTTGGATTCATTTTGAGTCTGTTTAGGATGTGGTTTCAACGGCTGCCCCTAGAACTTCACATAGGTGCAGTAAATCTAACCTCGTTGAGTTCCTTTGCTCAAACAGACGATTATGCCTGTATAGGTCGCATCGTGCAGGACCTTCATTCTTAGTATGCTTTCACGACCATGTCATCTGTTCGACTTGCGGGATTTCCGATCCATCGTCCACTCCATCCGCGGCGCGGTGTCCTGGATGTAAGCGTCGCATGACTGTGAACTCCAGGGGGTGTCCCTATCCGTGTATTCGCCGACCTTTAACTTCAATGAGAATGTGGATTCCAAGAAACACTTAGCAAAATCAGACAACATCTGCTAACTCTTGAGCCATCCTGTCAAGCGGAGGTGCTAAGTGATACGCCAGTTACTCCTATGAGTATAAGCTCACAATTAGTCGTCTAATTAGTTATAAAAAGGGCTCGGATGAAGCCATTCGCAGTATAACTCGGGAGGAGCTTGGTCGAATCACACACTGGACGGTTGGTACAGAAGAACCCAACAACTCGAGCGCCACAAGTGCCAACGTTAAGAAGGATATTCACGCGGACATACTCATCACTAAGAAGAAGCTTCTTGAAAAAATCCAAAAGATCACAATCCTATATAGAGGGACCTCCATTAGCGAAACTGATTCCCCGGGCACAGCCTTCTTCTGGCCTGACTGCGAACAACTATACATGTGTTTCAATGTAACCCGTAGTTTGACCCAGTCACAGTACAGGAAGATTTCCGGCATTTGCTTTTGTGTGTGGATTCAACCGGAGGAGCCTGTAGATCACGATTACTTTGGATTTCCTCTAGGCCGGCGTAAGACTGCTAAAAAATAAAGTTCGCAAAAGAATTATTCTGCGCCTTTACGACAGAGACGGCGCTGTATAGAGGAGTACCTTTTTTTTCACTACTGTAACTCGAGATGGCAGCCACCGTCAGCCTTTTAATAGTCCTAAAATGACATTGGCGCAGGCGTGGCGCATGCAGGAAAGGTGTGTGTTTCCGTCACTGTTGATTAAAGGGAAAAGCTATAAGCGGCCACTTAGAAATTAATGAAGACGTTCTTCGCGTGCTACAAAACAAGCCCGTATCGGAATTCAGCATAAACGACTTACTACTGTTACGACGCACTTCAGATACGCAAACCTTAATCTAGAACGACCTTCTAAAGTCCTATATTTTTTTTTCTAATTTAATTAGTAAAGTAGCTGACAAATCTGTACCATCAATGGCATTTATTGACTATGGGGAAACCTCGTGTTAGGTGCTACATCAGTTATATTTGTATATGTGCATGTAATAAAGAATAGAAAAGCCAGCAGTACCGATATGCGGACCTTTCTACAAGTTGAATTTACCTAGATTATCTAAAAGCAATTAATTATTCTAAATTTTAAGAGCATCTAGCGAAAAATTAACGTACCTATAATTTACCAAGGGAGCAGAGAGATTCGGAGAGCAGCAAGCTTATTTTGATTATCTACAACAGATCAGTAAAGAGTTTCCATACTGCTGGATCAACGTAGGAAACAATGCAATTGTTTGCTACGTTGCTAATATTTAAGGCATTTGAGAATCTAACAGACTAAAGCTTGGCTAACTTTAGTATTATATTAGGCCTTTACTCGTTTACAATAGGCTTTTACCCAGTTCCGTGACACATATAACAGGCTAAGTATAATAGCATTCGATCAAAAAATAGTCAATAGTATAGAAGAGAGTACCGGAAGATGCAACCGCATCAGTCCCCATTCAGATAAATATACTTTAATAGCTTTTTTTCTTTTATCAGTAACGACTGTTTCAGACTATTACTTTTAACATTTCCCTAGGCAAACGCATAGCTACTAATATTTGTGATTCTTATTAACGATTCATTTTAATCACACCCTTTTGAAAGGTCATGGTTGTAGTGACTGGTACGTCCGACTGCACCGCAGGACCTCGATGACCATCCGAGATCAAGATCAGATGGCACTGGCACGTTATTAGAGGCAATTGTCGTCAATGTAGTTAAGCAATATCGCTATTCGGTGTATACAAACATTTTTGAATTTTGTCTTCAACTTAAACAGAAAATTCAGCATTCAGCTGCTGTATACCGACAAAACAAACCAATCCGAATATCGTTTGTCACAGACTTCTACTAGAGTACTCGAAAATCGATTGTCTAATGGCAAACCATTGAACGATAAAAGCGGTTTTAGAGATCGCTGCTGGCTAAAAGTCAACGGTGGATCCAGCAACTTAGCGATACCGACACCAGTCCGACGAAACGACGTTATCCATAATGAGCACAACTCCGACATGACTAGCGCGTGACCTCTGGTCTCGACGCAAAAGTCGTCAACACTTGGGCCAACAAACTGCTCCCTGTAACAGTTTGGGTTTACGAACGAGTCTCATCACTCCGTATTTTGAATGTCTTTGATGAGTACTTGAGATGAATATTTGGCATTGAGCCAAAACATACTTGCATAACCATCCTCTTCTGAAGCTTTAGTGTTTCTTCCTTCGTCCTGTATATGTGAAGTTACATGTAAGGCTCTCAGTAGCTCTCCTAAATAGGACCAGATTTCTTAAATCCCACAAATGCAAGAAAATTTTTCTTTATCTCATTTTAAGGAAGCTTATAAGAAAGAACATTCTACCGTAAAGCCCCGCCAATTCTTTAACATTAAACAAAGGACATTTGTAGTGCGGTCCGCTAGCAAACCCCAATGTTACTCATTAGAACGACGCAAATATTTTAATGAATTTCAGTGGATTTGCTCAATCGGACGAAAAAAGTTTTCATAATAAGGAATGGGTGATGATAAGTTGTTTCTTCGTCTGCCTTTTAACTTACGCGACAGCTCTAGCGTCTTTTAAGTTTGTCAGGCGAGCACGTTTCTGTTGCACTATCGCGAGAGGTGATAGAAATACATGTCGAGTGGCAACATATAGTTCCACCACTGACATGTATGTCTCGGCTCTTATTACTCCTCAATGAAACGCATGTGTTAGTGCGTTTGCTTTCAGTCAGCCGTCATCAACGCCATCGTACGCCAACAGCTGCAACTGTTGCTATCGTCATGTACGCCCACATCAGGCAACGACCTATCGGTACCATCGACCGCTAGCTACCCTTATCCGTCGCTACACGCAGAACATCTCCCTGTCAGTTAGTAAGAAGCCGTATGTGAGATGAACCGTAGCTGTTCGTGATCTTCGTGCGTGTCAAGCTGACCTATCAATTCTAACCTAGTTTGCTGCTCATTTAGAAAATTCTACTGATGCTACGGTCGAGTAGAATATACAACGGGAAATCGGTTTCTTTCGACGCTCGCAGACACCTAAAGGCCTGTGCAAAAATACGCCTTCAACGTCCGTCAACTGACCTCTTCGTAGGTTCGGCAGGACTGGTTCCAGTGTCTTCGTTCTCGAAGCCTGCACATGCGTTGACTATGACTATGGGGTCCTCGCTTTTCACTGCGAGATATACACCAGCCATTAAGAATCGTCCGTCTTGCACGGTGCTATAAATCCTCCAAGTCTTGGAGGGTTTGCTGTCAATGAATTCGTGAAGACTTACTTTCAGTGCGAGTTTGGATTTCAAACGTTAGTAGGAATCAGGAAGCATCTGTGAACAAAGAGGAGGCCACATTGTACGGCAGGAACTTCGAGCTTTGCTAGCTCTGCGCCAGTCGTCAGTCTGAAGAAACTAAATAAACGTAGACTAATAGCCGAGACTCTTATAAGAGGCGGAATAAGCTAGAAGCCATCAAACATCTTGTATCGTATTTAAGGGAAAGTTAGCAAACTAAAATGCTCTTCAATGATTCGTCCTCTTCCATGATAATCTTAGCTAATAGAGAAAGTAACATGGAAGCTGTCAACGGAATAATGAAACTAACTTGCGATTTAAAATACAGAAAACAGAAAGATAAAAGGACGTTAACACTGTCGACGCAGCCTTGAAGACGTTTTTTTTAAACTTGATTCACTGAATTAATACATTTTTTTATGGATTTAATTATATCATATCTACTTACAATGCACGTTCATGCAACCAGTTACATAGGTCGCTATTGTTTTGAGCACACGCGACCAAAATTGTCATGTCATATATAGTCATTATTATAAATCGTTCGATAACAGAAAATACGCTTGCGGTTCTGAGAATCGCCAGTCTACAAAAGGCTAGGCTTTCGCTAAATACTGACGTTTCTCACTCCTCCTTTGGCGAGTTGTATGAAAAACATGTTGAAATATCTGGGTTGGCATTAAAGTGAACGCCGTTTATTTAGCTGGTACGCAACTAGCGTAGGCCTGACCGTTGTTGCCGAGTGCCGAATTGCAGTTTTCAATCTTGCAATGTACCATTTTGCAATCAGTCATCCACCTTACCGGATACTGAACTACATTGTCCGTTCAGATAGGGCCTCGTTTTGGTTCGACTTCAGTCGATTCTACAAGCGTCCGCTGCAGTCCCATGGCTCGTCCGCAGGTAAGTGTATACATGTTTAACCTTTATGCTAAAACCTTTACGATATTGTTAATAATAGCTTCAATTATAAGGTTTTTTGAGAAAAAGGCACACAGCTGTACAGGTTCGGGGTCCTTGATGTTCAAAAGCGTCGAGCTTTACTCGAGTTTCGGAAGTTTCTGCTTAAGCTCGAAACTTGGAGAAACGGGAAGTCTGTGTCGAGCTACAAGTTCAACTAATCGACACTGAACTGACCTATGCGTGAGAGTCTCTACCAAATATCGTTTCCGCCTTAATGTAATTTTGAATTTTTTCAATCGACTGCATCGAGATCATTTTAAGCCATCTAGCTATGGCGTATAAGCGAGCCAGCGATTTAATTTTGAGAGATGGCAAATGGTAAGGGGTCACTTTGATATTTAGCCTCTGTTGGAGCGCGCCTTTGAAGTAGCACCAAAAGCGATTGCAAAAATTTGCCCACATAACGGGAAACGTGAGCGAATATCTGACCCGACCTGTTATCTGTCATTATTTGAAACAAGTTGATTTTACATGGGAATGAGTGATGAACTTTCAATGATCGCCTTAAACGTCTACCGGCAGGTGACTTCGGACCCAGATTATCCCTTACCGTTTGAATAATGGCTTATTATCGCAAGCAATCGCGAGGTCTTCGAAAGCGAAGTGCCTTAAAATATTGTCGCTACCAACTTTGTATATTTACACGGAAAATTATTGCTACGAATCTGTATGTTATGATCTAAAGTGCTATTTTATTAATAGCCATTCCTATTTAACTATATGGTCATGTCCATCTTTTCTTTCCAGCTGAATCTTTTATCGAAAAATATTTCTCGTGGTACGGTGTGGATCCCATTGGACGGTTGGCTTTCAGCAAGATACGAAATATTTCTGTGTACAGCCAGATTCGAAATTAGACCATTAGCTGTATTTAGATTCACCCAAACCGATACCTAAACAATAATGAACTGACAGCTAGGTGTTAAGGTCTATATCGAGGTTAATTACAGAAAGGTCTTTATTTATTGATTAGGACTAAGGTTTACGTTAGTGGGCGTGTTATCGTATTGAGTTTATTTTTCTACCGATTACGAATTGATTAGGAAGTTATTATAACTTGACAAATACGTAACCGGATTTTATATTGTGTAGATAAGGCTAGCTGGTGTTCGTAGTAACTTCCATATCGCTTGTCGTTTTACTGTTTCGTCAATAGCTCTATATCCGTACAACAAACGCGCGACAATTATATTTTATATCTGCGAGTATCTTAAGTATAGCTCCTAGAAAATGAGGCGCAAATCAACCCGAATGACGGCGCGCTGTCACTATAAGCTCTCGTTATTGGTAGTCTATGCGTTACATTTATGAGCGAAGAACCTATGGGTCGCCAATATTTTAGCGAACTTGCCCTGGCAGCACTAGCGTTTGCTCACATAAGATTTGTTTGGTTCGCTTAAGCCTTTAATGTGGTTCTCGGTGGCAGAATGGTTCGCCGTGAAGGCAGAGTATTGCTGGGGTACAAATCTCTTGCTAGCTTTATAGGATAACACTTACACGCGCTCGGAAAAACGGCTTCATTTCAATTGCTGTTTTTTACAGTTAGAGTATCAAGTAGATATATATATATATATATACTGATTCAATAAGCCGAACTTGCACATAAATTATACTTAATATAATATGTTAAGTATAATTTATGTGCAAGTTCAGCTTATGTGATATAGCGATAT